TAAGAAAGGTGACAACGCTCTCTTGAAGAACTACAGACCGATTTCCCTTCTGAGCCGCATCTACTTGCTGTTTTCGAGAGTCATTACGAATCGTCTCACACGCAGACTCGTCGCCTCAGCCTCCCGAACAAGCCGGTTTTTGAAAAGGCTTCAGTACCATAGACCACATACATACCCTGCAGCAGATTGTACAGAAGACCGAAGAGTACAATTTGCCACTTTGCCTGGCGTATGTGGACTATGAGAGCCTTTGATTCCGTTCCGTTTGATTCCGTCGAAATTTGGGCGGTGCTACAGTCCCTTCAGCTGTGCCAAGTTGACTGTCGGTATATCGAAGTGCTGAAGTGTTTGTACAGTAGGACTACGATGGCTATCCGGGTACAGAACCAGAGTTTGAAACCTATCCAACTGCAGAGAGGTGTAAGACAGGGTGACGTTATATCCCCGAAACTCTTCACCGCTGCGTTGGAAGACGTTTTCAAGCTACTGGACTGGAAAGGATACGGTATTAACATCAATGGCGAGTACATCACTCACCTTCGATTTGCCGACGATATAGTCCTTATGGCAGAATCGCTGGAGGACTTAAGCACTATGCTCAATGACCTCAATGGTGTCTCCCAACGGTAGGTCTTAAGATGAACATGGACAAAACAAAGAACATCTTTAATGTCCATGTCACACCTATGCCGATAGTTGTTGGGAGCACTATGCTCGAAGTTGTTGATGAGTACGTTTACTTAGGACGAATAGTACGACTAGGTAAGTCCAACTTTGACCGAGAGGTCAATCGACGGATACAACTCGGCTGGGCAGCGTTCGGGAAATTACGACATATCTTCTCGTCAGGTATACCTCAATCTCTGAAAACTAAAGTGTACAACCAGTGCGTGTTGCCAGTAATGACTTACAGATCTGAGACGTGGTCCTTCACTGCTGGCCGTAGGAGGATGCTCAAGGTCACTCAGCGAGCTATGGAGAGGGCTATTCTCGGAGTTTCTCTGCGTGATAGACACAGAAATGGGGATATCCGCAGTAAAACCAGAGTGACCGACATAGCCCAACGGATTAGTAAGCTGAAGTGGCAATGGATCGGCCATATAGCTCGAAGAACCGATAACTGATGGGAAAGAAAGGTTTTCGAGTGGCAGCCTCGTACCGGTAGGCGAAGTGTAGGGCGACCCTCCACTAGATAGAGTAACGACCTGGTAAGACATGCAGGAAGTCGATGGATGCAGGTGGCTTAGGACCTTGGGGGAGACCTATGTTCAGCAGTGGACTTGTGAAGGGCTGTAATGATGATGATGATGATGAATGACAAATATATTACAATAAATAAAGTTCGACAAACTGTAACGTTATTATGATTTTTTTACACACATAAATAGCAAAATATATAAAGTTTTTTATTACTAATAAATATAAAGATGTGAATATTTCCTCTACGTTCCTCTATGTTTTATTCTTCTTCTTCTTCTATAGTCTCTTTTTATCATAAATTGTAGAATTAATTTAGAATATCATCAGAAAGCTCAAATTGAGTACAACACACTCCATCTTCTTCTGAACTAATCTTAATTCGTAATATTGACGATAATAAAGGTAGATTCATGCGAGTACGAAGATTAGTTTTAGTAACGGTTACTGTTTAGAAGGAATCCAATACTGGCTGAGGCAACAAGGGGAGTGCCTTGAAACTGAGGAGATACGACGAAGGGGTTTCTTTTATCGGTAAACGTGCAAACTTGTGTCTTTTGGGGATTAAACTGGACTAGATTTAGTCGCCCCCAGTTCGAGACTTCGTTCAACAAAGTTTCGACTTCAGACACAAGTTTATCCCAGTACACAGCGACATATTTTCGAGAAATACTGGCACGGTCGGCGTACAGAGCATCACCAGTGCTATCATCTGTATAGCAATGAATGCTGCAGGTTTGCAGAAGAAACAGCGTTGGTGATAGCTAATAGCACGCAGCCTTGTGGAACACCAGCATTAATAGGCTTGTAATCGGAGCTTGCACCATCTATAACAACTGTAATGCTCCGATCCGCAAGAAAGCTGGTGATCCAATTGCACAATTTCTAGAAGCGCTTTTTGCCAAACTCGATCGAAGACCTTCGCAACGTCTAAACTAAAGGCCAATGCCTCCCCCTTGGACTCTACTGCTGCCGCCCATCTATGAGTCAGGTAGACTAGAAGATCACCAGCTGATCAACCACGACAAAGCCGTATTGGCGATTACTAATCAGCTGGTGATTCTCAAGGTACCTCGTGAGCTGGCAGTTTACAATGGATTTCATTGTTTTGGAGAACAATGAGGTGATGGCGATGGGCCTGTAGTTGGACGGGTCTGAGCGGTTGCGATTTTTAGGGATCCGGTGGACAAAAGCCATCTTCCATGATTTTGGGACTGCGCCTAGAGAGTAGGTGTACCGGAAAAGACGCGTTAAGACCGGCGCCAACTCTGCAGCACACGTCTACAGAAGAATTGGGGGAATACCGTCAGGCCCACTCGACTTGTGGATGTCCACGGAGAGGAGTGATTTGCGAACGAAGCGCCGTGTAAACTGCACCTCCGGCATGGAGCGCTCACACCGCGGGATGGCTTGTGGCGTACTCCTCCCGTCATAGAGAGTTGACTTGGACCCAAAGGAAGGGCCTAGCAGATCGGCTTTCTTCTTTGCGGCATGGGCTAGTGAGTCGTCCTCACTGTGCAGAGATGGAAGAGATGGCTGACGGAACTTTCTCTGGACAGCCTTGGCGAGAGACTAGAATGCACGGGTTCCTTATGGAAGGCGAACTAGTTTCTCGCCAATTCTGCTTATGTGTACTTTGCCTTGGCAATGACTCTTTTGAAGAATCTGGAGGCGGAATTATACTTCTTTTTTAGAGCGCTGACGTTTACATCTCAGGACGTTGATGCGTCAGCCCAGGCCTGGTACCGCTCCTGCTTATAGCATGATGCTATTTTACAGGAGCGACCAAACCATGACTGAGATTTGCCTCCGATCGTTACCACAGAGGAAGGAATAAAAAGTTTCATACCCTGAAGTACCACATCCGTGACAGAATCAGCAACAACTTTGGGATCATACGGCGGTAGCGGTACAATCCTAGCCTTGGGGGTGGGTAAGTACACCCACCCCCAAGGCTAGGATGCAAAGAAAGACCGCATCCTATCCCAATCGGCTGACCTATAGTGTCAAACACGGCGGCAGCCTGTAGAATGCAACCGCGATTTCAGCATAAGTAGCATCACACTCCGGACAACACAATTGTCCGAAGAACCTAAAGAGGTGTTGATGGAAATCTGATATCCATTCGGATGAGAGGTCAGCAGAAGGTTCAACAGGGAAGGTATATGATCCTCCGACAGTAACCAGTTGTGTCAGAACATATGCCAAGGCAAAATCACGAACAGATATCCCGCATGATCTGTATACGTGAACCAAGCCATTCGGCGTGGTGGGCGTTAAAATCGCCGAGGATCACGATCTCTGAGGAGGGGATCTGCTGTAGCAACGAATCTGTAGCCATTTGGACGTGGTCGAAGAGTTGGTCTCCTTCGGCACTACCGCTATGGGACCTATAGAGGCACCCGTAGACGCGCGGATGGTCGTCACTGTCTACGCGTAGCCAAAGGATGGACAGGTCTGAACCTTCGACTGCCGAGGCGTCTATAACAGATTTCCTTCCTGGCGTATACGCAAACTCCAGCCGAGGCACAAAAGAGTGTTCCAGTTTTTACTCCGGGTAGGAGAGATACGAAACATCAGCCGGAGAGGACACCTGCGTCTCGGTCAGAAAGTGCAGAGCCAGCCTCGTGGTCTCGAGATGGTAGCGGACGGCGTACAAGTCAGAATAAATTCCGTGGCAGGGGTCGCCTTGATCTTGTTGCTCAGCTTGCCCCGAGCAGTTGTTGTCTTGAGCGGAATTTTGCCCCCCCCCTCCAGAATACGTGGGGCATCCCGAGCACCCACGCCCTGGAGTGGAGTAACGCCTTGGGAAGAACTTCACTTAATTCCACTATCATATTAAGGGGGGTGGGAATTGGGTTTCCAGCCACCTACACTCACCAGACGAAACGCGAGGTCGTGGTACCACCCCGGTTTGAGCCGGCCCATACGTGCAACAGCAAAGCTGCCGCGTGTCTCTACCACTTTTAAACACACAAGTTGTCACAACAGTGTCAAAAATAGCATACCGTCATGACGGGATTTTATTGTGTCTTGCAAATTTCAAGTGTAATTTACTGTGCTTTACTAGCAAACAAAGCAATTACAAAACAATTGGACAATTGCGAACCGTTTAAAATGTTTTCCCTATTTTTATGTATAGTGTGCAAGGCCTGGCCCAGGCTCCATACACTTTGGCACATCTCATTTGTAAATAATTTTTCTCTTTTCATGTAATTTTCAATTAAAATAATAATTACGAATTTATTTATTGTTTTGAAAAATAAATCTAGCGCTTTTTAAAAGTTTTCTTTACATAATGTTGGTAGCATTACCTTACAGTGTCTGGTCTGGTGTCATGTAACCAGCGTTGCGATCGATAAGGCAATTGCCGTAATATACGGCATTCCACGATTTTTTTAAAGATTATACGGCATACGGCAGGCTTTTCTTTGCCGTATCAAGTATGAGTGACGTTGCGGATGTCAGTGCTACTAGAAGTACGCAAAGCTTGTCGCGAAATAAAAATTAATATCTACGTCTAAAGTTATGATATCGATGTTTTGAAACATTTTTTCTGGACTTTAAAAACTGGTGCATATGTTAATAAATTAATCATTTGTGTGTGCTTAAGGATTGTGGTGAAAGAAAATTGAAATAAAACATCTAAAAGTGAAATATAAGAGGTACCTTTATTAATAACTTTAATGTACATCGTCTATTTACCCTTGAACTATAAAGTGTCAATTACAATATTTAGTCGGCTACACCTAGTGATAATAATCATCTGCATCATTACATTGCAATTAACTTAAACTAACGCGATGAAGTGCAGTGCGTGCGGAAAGTTTATGGCGGCGGTAGAGGGCGTTACGTGTCCTAAATGCGATAGAAAATCACACAGGGCCTGCGTCAAAGTTCCTGAAGGTGTGCAGGTCCAACCTACTTGGTTGTGTCCGGACTGTAAAATACGGACGCCCCGAAAGTCAGATCAGAATACGCCTGTGCGAGGACTTAATTCCGAGAATATTATCCAGCAAGGCGAAGAGAAACCCCAAAGCCCTGTGGCGCAAGGTTTCAAAGAGTCGGAACTAGCTCTTGAACTACGTAAATTTAGAGAAGAACTGCGAGAAACCAGGGAAGAATTTAGATCTTTCCGACAGGAGATGTTTGATTTGCGTAATTCCAAAAAATCGTGTGAAGAACGCCTAGATACATTAGAAAACAAATACATCCGTCTTGAAGAACAACAAACCCTAATTGAGTCCAAAAATGTCTGCGGCAAAATTCAGAATCTCGAAACGATTATTGCGGACTTAAGAGCAGATGTAAATTATCGAGACCAAGAGCTGCTGTACAATGATATTGAAGTTGCAGGCATTCCAGAAGAGGGCGCAGAAAATGTTCTACACATTGTGACTGCGTGCGCTACTAAGCTGGGCGTAACCCTAGAAGAGCGCGATATAGTGAGTTGTGTGCGAGTCGGTCTTATGCGCGACGAGCAAAGTAGGCTAGCGAAGCCCCGTCCCATAGTCGTGCGGCTGGCACGCAGGCACACGCGGGACACTCTGCTGCGGGCAGAGCGCATGCGCCGCTCCTTAACTACCGAAGGTCTAGGTCTCCGCTCCGAAAATACACGAGCCTTCTATATAAACGAACGGCTTACTAAATTGAACCATTACGCCTGTGGCATCGCTTCCGAGCGGTCGCATCCAGGCAGTCCGCGCTTTCGTTCCTGTACGGTAGTGCTCTCCCGCTCTCGCGCCCCCCGCTGTCCCGCTCGCGCTGTACAGCACCGACGCAGTGCTCAGTCCGCCGGCGGCATCGTTCTCGGACGGTCGCCTCCAGGTGGTACGCGCTCCCGTACAGTACGGTAGTGCTGTCACGCTCTCACGCGCCTCCGCTGTCCTGCTCACGCGGAACAGCGTCGAGGCTGCCGGTGAGTCAATTTCACGCTACAGTTCTTGCCCCCCTGTCTTCGGGCAGGGAGGTCTGACTGACTTCCGCTTTTCATTTTCATTTTCACTTTTCATTTCATTTTCATTTCATTTCATTTTCATTATCATTTTCATTTTTCAATTTTTTTTCTGTCTCCTTTATTTTCTTGTTTTTCTTGCTATTCTTGCATTATTATTACGTGTATAGTGTGTCGTAGTACGTCTCGCGATCTAGTCCCTGTTCTACCGAGAACAGGGACCCGTCCTCACCCTTACCTAGCCTAGCTTACTGCCCCAAAATGGCCACATCCAGTTTCACTGAGTCACTCGCCGCCCTCATTAACCAATTCGGTTTAAATGGCAATGAGACGGTCCTCGCCGCCATCGCCACCATCGCCGCCCAGGCTCCCCTCCCTGCCCCTCAGGCACACCTTCCGCCGCCGGTAATCACATCTTACCTCGAAACGAGGAACTCCTTTGCCCCCCCTTGAATCTGCCCCCCTTAGAAATGGAGTACGCATGCTCCGAGTCCTCGGCACCGACCTCCCGGAAGAGGCCCGCCACTACTTCAGGCTCCGGCTCATCGGAGTCCTCTGACTCCGACGGAACCGGGGGAGTCCACTTTCACCACCGTCACCTTCAAGCGCAACGGTAAGCGCGCCGCGTTAAAACGCACTCCCCCTATTTCAGCGGCCCCTGCCGCTCCCACAACCTCCGCAGCCCTCGGCGCTGCCGCCGTCCCACTGATGTCACTAGACATCCCCACACCGACCAAACCAGCCTCTCGTTGTGCTCCAGTCCTTGCTAAGAAGCAAGTCCCGCCCCCTGTCTTCCTAAGAGACAAGGCAAAATTTACCCAGTTATCCAAAACCTGCTACGACGCAGGTATCAAGTATGATCATGCCGTCAACCTCGGGGAGGCGATCAAAATCATCCCAAGCTCGATCGAGGACTTCCGTCAGATCACCCGGCTATTCACAGCCGAACGAATCTCCTACCACACGTACGCTCTCCCTGAAGAGCGTAAAGTCAGGGCCGTCATGAGAGGCGTTCCATTTGAGTTCTCTAACGAGGAAATCCTTGAGGACCTTAAGTCCCAAGGTTTCCCCGTAGAAGCAGTGCACAAAATGCACAACAGAACGGGCAAGAGATACAACCTTGCCCTAGTAATCCTATTGAACGTGCCGGAGGCTAAAGCCATCTTTCGGCAGGTACGCACAGTGTGTGGCCTGTCGAGGGTGAAGGTAGAGCCCCCACATAGGCCCGGTTTCCCGGCGAAGTGCCACCGCTGCCAACTTTATGGTCACGCGGCGGCCAACTGCTCCGCCCCACCGAGGTGCGTTAAGTGCCTCGAACCACATAACACGAAAGAGTGTCCCCGGCCCAAAGACTCCGAATCCCCGCCCGCCTGTGTCCTGTGCAACCAGACAGGACACCCGGCTAACTACAGGGGTTTCCCACACGCACCTCAACCTCGCCCCAGTAGGCAAGCTCCACCGCCGTTGAATGACCGCTCATTCCCGGCCCTCCAACAACGGCCCCGTCAGGGCCTTTCTCAGCCCATCCATGGCTTCTCTCGACCCTCTCAGGGTCCCCCTAGGCCCCCTCAGGGCATAATTCGGCCCCCCTCCGGGCTTCTCCAAGCCAATGCAGCCTCCAGTCTTTCCCTGGGGGCCCAAAAAAGGCAGACCCACCGCGGACAACCTCGTACGCACATGAAGCAGAGCCCACACCCGACGACTACACGCTATACTCCGCTATTAGGAATATCGATGTTAGGGAAATAACCGTAGTAGCACGCAAACTGCGCGCGGCGAAGTCCCCCCAAGAACGCCTTCTCGTTCTTGCAGAACACAATAACCTTCTGTTAGCGTTGTAAGTTAAGTTAACTTAATTAACTTAACTTCAATGACTGAGCGAATTAACCTACCAAGATCTCACGGTCGTATCAAACCTAAGGGTTTATCGCTTGTATCATTTAATATTCGCGGCTTGCGAAATAACCTCCCAGAGCTCAAGCTCTTTCTTCGGAATCGTGAAGTCGATTTCCTCCTCCTACAGAAAACTAATCTCAAAGCTCCTTAGCTTGTGTCCTTACACTAGAGGCCTTTCTATTAAAAACTTCTCTCTTCTTCGTAACGACAGACCCGACCGCCGAGGCGGCGGAACGGCCATCTATTACAAGAAGACACTTCATTGCTCGCCCATTTCTACTCCACAGCTTACCAACATGGAAGCCACGGTATGCAGGCTAGCTATGACTGGACATCAGTCCATCCTCATAGCCTCCTGTTACATCCCTTCAGGAACCTATCCCCTCAAAAAAGATTTTGAGGCCATTTTATCTTTAGGCAATTCAGTCATTATGTTTGGAGATTTTAACTCCAAGCATACTGAATGGACATGCCGCACTACGTCCCCTAGTGGCAAGATACTGCTCGATATCACGCAGTCTCTTGATATTACCGTTCATAGTCCTCTCGGTGTTACTCACTTTCCCGATAACACCGATCACGCCCCCGATGTGTTAGATTTTGCGTTACTCCAAGGAGTTTCTCTCAACCTCAGAGCAATTGAGACACTAGACGATCTAGGATCAGATCACCGACCGGTCTCCCTCATTCTTGGCCATCAGCCACCTCCCCCAACACACACGAAAACCTTCACTAATTGGAAGGGATTCAAGGAGTCCCTAGCTAAAGCTTTGGACTCACAGGACTCTACCATCTCCCTACCGTTGGACTTAGATAGTCCCGAAAAAATCGACACCGCGGTCGATTCACTCTCCACCCTTATTAAATCCTCCCTTAAGGAGAACGAAAGGGTCATCCCGGTTGCTAACAATAGTGGGCTTACCTTACATATTAGCAACCTATTAAAAGCCAAAAAGCTGCTTTTCGGAGAGCAGCAAAATATCCCACCCCCGAATATAGGCGCGCGGCCAATCGTCTTCAACGAGAACTCCGCTTCCGCCTCTCTGAATTTCGAGACCTCGAAAAGAGTAAGCTCATAGAGAATATCTCTCCATCTCACACAGCGTACTATCAGATGGCTAGAGCCCTCCGCATAGACGCTATCACCCACACTCCCCCTCTCTCCCGTCCCGACGGCACGGTTGCCTTCGAGGACGAGGAAAAGGCTGAGTGCTTTGTAGATAGCATTGCCGCTCAATGCTCTCCTAATTCTCAACCCGTCGACCCCTCTCACGTCCAGGCAGTGGAGGATGAGGTCCGCCGCCGGAACTCACCCCCTACGGCCTCCGAACCTATCTCTGTGTCCAATGATGAGATTTCATCCCTCATCAAAGGACTTAAGCCCAAAAAGGCTCCGGGCGCGGATGGCATCTCCAACCAAGCCCTAAAACACTTTCCTAAGCAGGTGTTAACCTTTTTATCTATTATCTTCAACGCCTGCTTCAACCTCAGTTATTTCCCCACTACGTGGAAACAGGCTACTGTGATTGGAATTCCCAAGCCAGGCAAGCCTCTCAACCTCCCCTCCAGCCATCGCCCCATTAGTCCTCTCAAGGCAATGGGCAAGCTCTTCGAAAGAGTCATCCAAACGCGTATGAGGCGCTATCTGTTTCCCACAGACGGCGACCCTCTTATCATTCCCCATCAATTCGGTTTCCGAGCCAAACACTCATGTCCCCAACAGGTTCACCGCATTGTGGAATATATCCTCAGCGGCTTCTACCCCCGTCGTCATAAGACCATCGCGGTCTTCTTCGATATAGCTAAAGCTTTCGATAGAGTCTGGCACACAGGCCTCATCTACAAGCTCTACAAAATAGGTCTCCCCGATCGTCTAGTTCGTCTCGTGGCCTCCTATTTAAAACATCGTACCTTTCGTTTTTGACACGAAGGTACGCTATCTTCACAGCGGACTATCAAGGTTGGTGTCCCTCAGGGCTCAGTACTTGCTCCTCTGCTGTACATCCTGTTCACCAACGACATTCCCATCCCGTCGAAAGGTGTTCAAATCTCCCTCTTCGCAGACGACACTGCCATCTACTGCAAAGGTGTCTCACTACCCTTCATACGGAACAAGATCCAAAAGTCAGTTGATGACCCCTAGGTCCTAAGCTTGGTTCAAAAAATGGCGCATCGATGTGAACCCGGAGAAGAGTTCCGCCGTTCACTTCGATTATAAACGACGCCGTCTCAAAAACACTCCACCAATACGTATGCTAGGGACCCCTGTCCCCTGGCGTACGTCCGCCAAATATTTAGGTGTCACTCTAGACACAGGGCTCACTTTCAAGCCCCACGTCAAAAGAGTAACCCGTCACGCACGATTTTATCTGAGTAGGCTCAACAGTATGTTGGGCCGACACAGTAAAATATCCCTTTGAAACAAGCGTACCCTTTACAAGGTCTGTATACGACCGG